CTCAACATTCTATAGGGCGGATCTTATGAAAAGAGAGCGAGCATGACTTAAAATTCTCCGTCCCACAAACACCCACTCATACAGACATGCACACCCACCTAACCTGCTTTCATCACTACCACCTGGTCTCTAATGAGCTTGTGGTGCTGAGGGCAGCAGTCTTCGCTGACAGAGATGGATGGAGACTTATTTGTTCATTTTTTGTCCTGTTCGTCTACAGATGTGTGTTCTGTTCTCCTTTCTACTATACTCGGATTTTAATCAGGTTAAATAAAGCCTCTGTTTAGTTTGAAGCCAGTTGGACTCTAAACCCATAATAGTGCTCTAAACCCTTCAGATGTTTAGTCAACACAGGAAAGTGTTGTCTTTCTGAACAGATTGGATTTGGATGTGGTCTTGTTTGAGATCGCCTAATGGATCTAGACTCTCAAAGCTGACTTTAGTTCAGTATTAGGAGTACTTGTGAAGAGGAATAACATATTTATCACTTGCCATAATCGTCTGTTTCTTACTGAATTTACCTTGCAAATTTAAATTTATGGGAAATTTTAAAATTATACAATTTGTAAAATTTAAATCTATTTTAAATATACTTTTTAATGTATTATTTAATATTTAATTCATTTTAAATTTTCTTTAAAAACGGAATAATATAGTTTTATAAGAACTCCAACACTTTTATTTGCAAAATGGTCAATTCTTGTTTTTGAGCACATTTTAGGACATTTTAGTAGATTTTTCCCCATTATTATCGACCTATACTTTTCCTGTTATTTTAGTAGTTAATAAATCACTGCTCTAGAGGATGAACTTTCTGTGCCATCCTGTGACTGTGTGCCTAGGTTTAATTTTATTTTGAGAGGGGAATTAAGGGCTGACCTTGGGCCATTAATAATTTCAGGGCTAAACAAGGAACAATATTCCTTTGAGTTATAGTGGCCCACTGCATACCCATAATTCTCCAAGCACACTCCTATATTTCCTCAGCTGCTTTTATAAAAGATCAGTAATGCCATCGTCCTAATGCCCTTAGCCTGAAGAGATTGATCTGTGTATGACAACTCTTTTTCTGTCCAATGTTTACAAAGGTGAAAACTGTATGAGATTAGTGCAACATTTCGTTTAATGTACAATGGACTGGTTGGTCAAAATAAGTGCACCCACTCTTAACTAAACACATCTGTAGTCGCACACACTGCATCATAACTCAGGCCTCAAACACACACAAACTCTAGGCACTTCCTTCCACAAACTTCTCTGATTGTATATAAGCTGATAAACAGGAAAACTTCTCAGGATAAATACTCCCACACTTCATGCTGTTCCTGAAAGCAAAAAGAAACTCCACTGTCTTTTTTCAGTGCTTTCCCCTATGTGATATTTTAGTCAAATTAACTTGCCGATAACCCTGTCCAGCTTTTTCCCAAGCATCTCAACAGGAAGTGACCTCGCAATGGTGTTAAGAGCACTCAACCCTTGAACTATAGACACACACACACATTCACATGCACCTCATCTGACCCCTCAGAGCTGAGAGAGTTAGATTTTATTACATGCTCTGATGTCACAATCCGCTCTGCTCCTTAAAGACTCAGAAGGAACTTGGTTATTAAAAACCTGCTGATAAAATCGACCGCTGCTCCCAACAGTATACATCCACACACACACCCAGGGGTGAGAGGTCAATCTCACATACATTTGCAGGTTGATGTGACTCTTGGCACTCGTAAGGGGAAGTATATTAATAGTCCAAGAAGGGATATTACAAATCTGGGGGTGGTTGAGCTCTCAGCTGAATGTGAATGTGATATATTCAGCTCAAATATTTCCATTTAAATAGAGATTTAGGAATATGTTAAAGGGATAGTTCACACAATAATGAAAATTATCTCATCATCTGCTGATTCCTGTGTCTTTTATGATCCAAGCACAAAAGAGGATATTTTGTGGGGTATCTGGCTGTTCTTTCCCATAAAACAAAAATAAACAGCAAGTTCTAAAAATGATGGTCACACTTTATTTTAAGGTCCAATTCTCGTTATTAACAAACCATTAACTACAACCTTTCCCTCAATAAACTCCTAATTTGCTGCTTATTAATAGTTAGTCAGGTAGTTGTTAAGTTTAGTTATTGGGTAGGATTAAGGATGTAGAATATGGTCATGCAAATTAAATACTTTATAAGTACTAATATACAGCCAATATGTAAATAATAGGCATGCTAATAAGCAACTAGTTAAAAGTGAAAATTGGTCCCTATACTAAAGTGTTACCAAAATGACCAAAAATCACCATACAGTAAAACAAAACTGCTGCTTTTTTGTTCTTTGTGGACAAATGTTTGACAGCCCCTGGTCCCTAAATGCATTTGTAGCATAGAAAAAAGCAGTATGGACTCCCTTTGTCTTTTGTTTTTTAGGGTGAACTAACCATCTAGTGCCATTGCTGGGAGATGGAAGGCTGTTCACATTTGTGTGTGTGGTTAGCTTCTCTTTTTGAGTTGCTTTTGGAAAAAAAACTTCATAGAGGTGGAAAGGGCTATATTTTAAAAACATAGGGACATTTGGAATAAACACAACCATCGGTAAGAGCAATGCACTATGGGAAATTTCCTTTCTGTCTCCTCCACACACACAAAAAGTAAATCAAAAGAGGTTCCTGAAGGGAACATTTATCCCAGGTTTCATGGTTTAACTGCGAAACTCTTACCATTCCCTTTTCTCCGCTGGTGAGGTTTGTTTAACACAAAATATTTTGTCTTTCTCTTTGAATTCTGTTTTGATTTACCCACTAATTTTTCTTTTTCTATTGCGGTATATTTCTTACATCTTAACTTATTCATTCATTACCATTACATTTTCACTTGAAAACGAGACTCCAAGACCATTATTTCTTTATCAAGTCTGAGAACAAGGCAGGTGCCACTTCATTGGTTCTGGCCCTGTTACTGCTGTGGTTTATCTACGTCAGAGTGGCTAAGCAGACTTCCTGTCCCTAGCCGGTAATGAAGCTCTGAACTGGGTCAGTTGTTTATGTCTGGAGCACCTGAGCTAGCCACAGTCGTTTGCTGAAGTGATCTGAAACAGGTCAGTCCAGGAAGTTTTAAAACTTCTCACTACCTTGGAAAAAAGAGATAGAAGAAGAGAAAGAGAGAGGAGTTGGGGGAAAGTGAATTGAGGTCCATTTGAACAGCACAAGGAAACCATTGTTTTTAAATGTGAGCCTTTATCTTCTCTCGTCTGCCAAAAGTAACCTCTTCCTCCTGAAGATCACTATGAAGATAGAAGAAAAATGTCATAAAATGATTTAATGTACGCCAAAATTAAACATATAATACCCAAAGGTGCATTTCTCTTGTGAAAAGCGTATTCAGGTTTCTCCCTCCACATTTGTATCCTGTTCAGCCCACCCCTGTGGACCCTTCCCCCCATGCCAGGGCTCTGTGGGCTTACCTGTCAGGGAGGCCCCTCTGTGCCTTTCCTGTCTCTGCAGATATGAAGCAGCATTATTAGTGCTTTTCAGAGCGTAACTATCCCAATACAGAGCAAAAGCCTGGAGTTAAATATATACTGCTGCTCGGCTTCAAATTCGATATGTACAGAGAGATTCTGAAAAAAATGGCTGGTTTCTAACAAAGTGCACATAGTTTGTTGGTGGTCAGTTGTATATTGGGATATTGCATGATTATTCATGATGATTTTCATACCTAAAGTGGCCTCAAATACAATATTTGCATTTGCATTGAATTTCATTGAATAGATAAATAGAGTTATGTCTTAGTTATGTATAGCTATGAATAGATAGTCGTGTCTGTAACAACAACAACAAAAAAATGTTAACCGTAAGTTCTCTTTTCTACCCATTTTTCTACCCAAGTTCACACAATCCTAGCAAAGTAACCACAGGTGTTGTTCATCAAATAACCTGTTAACTAATGTTAACCAGAACATGTCCAAATATGTTTTTTGTTTTCATTTTGAACAGTATATGTATTGATTAACTGTAAAATTGGAAACCAAACAACTTTCTATACATGTTTTACTTGAAATATGTACAGGTGCATCTCAATAAATTAGAATGTCGTGGAAAGTTCATTTATTTCAGTAATTCAACTCAAATTGTGAAACTTGTGTATTAAATAAATTCAATGCACACAGACTGAAGTAGTTTAAGTCTTTGGTTCTTTTAATTGTGATGATTTTGGCTCACATTTAACAAAAACCCACCAATTCACTATCTCAACAAATTAGAATACTTCATAAGACCAATAAAAAAAACATTTTTAGTGAATTGTTGGCCTTCTGGAAAGTATGTTCATTTACTGTACATGTACTCAATACTTGGTAGGGGCTCCTTTTGCTTTAATTACTGCCTCAATTCGGCGTGGCATGGAGATGATCAGTTTGTGGCACTGCTGAGGTGGTATGGAAGCCCAGGTTTCTTTGACAGTGGCCTTCAGCTCATCTACATTTTTTGGTCTCTTGTTTCTCATTTTCCTCTTGACAATACCCCATAGATTCTCTATAGGGTTCAGGTCTGGTGAGTTTGCTGGCCAGTCAAGCACACCAACACCATGGTCATTTAACCAACTTTTGGTGCTTTTGGCAGTGTGGGCAGGTTGAAAATCTTTTCCACGACGTTCAAATTTATTGAGATGCACCTGTATTATTGTTTTTATAGTACTTTTCAAAAATGTATAGGTTGTATAGAATTGTTCACATCTTAAAAAAAGTCTTATATGTTTACCCAGCCTGCATTTTTTTAATGTTAATTATTTCTTATTATTTGAACATTTATTACTATTTTCAGTGTTGAAAATATTTAATGAATGAAAATCTGAAATATTTTTGTGAAAACTTATATTTTTGTGATTTTTTTCCCCCCCAGAATTGTTTGATTTTTTTTTTTTTTGATTTTTTCCGATTTTACCCCCAAAAATTGGAACGATGATTCTCATACATTTTTCATATTTCTGTTCATACATTAATCTCTGTATGCAGGATCATCAAGTAACCTGGTTGCCCAGGACGCTGTAAGAAAACAGGCTACACTTCTGAAACCTGCTTCTAAAACAGGAGAACATATCTCAAGTAAGAACCAAACCTCTAAATCTCCATTATCAACTCAACATACGTTCCACTTAAGCGATGAAAAAGCCATATAAAGACAAAAGCATCATTGAAGGAACTTGTCCATCTGGAACCTTTATAAATTGTACCCAAGGCCCTTTGTTGCAAGACTTAATGATGTAACTGGCTTGTAACAGTAAACAGCCCACTTGTGTTGACCATTTTGAGTTTGCATGCGCATTTCCTGGTTCTTTTAAACAGCACCTTTTCAGACTGATTCCTGATTAGCTTTTCAGCATGAACATTTAATTTATTCTTCATCAAAGTGCTAAGAGATCCATACCACAGAAAACTTTGTAAACAACAACACTATATTTAAAAAGAACTCGCCTTGGAAAGAACACTGTGAAAGCTTTTATTGATCTAATTGATTATGACTTGTCTTTGTCTATCTCTCAGACTGTCTGAATTGCAGTCGTATCACTGCTCTCACAGATCGTGTGAGCTCTCTGGAGGCCAAGGTAAAGTCACATCTTTCACTTTGAGCGTCTTTCATGGGGGAAGTCACTAAGAATGAATTGCATCCATTATAGCTTTGTTTATTTGTACCTCAGTGTTTTATGATGCTCTGTCCTCATCACTCCAGTACTCCTTTATCACTCAAACAATCCCCATTTAACACAGTTTAATCATTTACCCTTTGTGCCTTCTCTGTCCCTCTGCCTTCCTGGTGCTCTTTCTCCCAGGTTCAGCTTCTTACCGCTCCAGCCTCCACCTCTCATCGCCAGACGCAGTTAAAAAGTGAACCTGACTCCTCCTTGTTGATGGGGGCTCCACCTGCCAAAGGTTCTCCTGGGGCTCAGGGTCCCGCAGGTATGTTTATCACTTTGTGTTACAGAATAAAGAGCAGTTTTAGTAGTGGTGTTTGTCCTGTACCGTTGATTTAAATGGACGGAAGATTGATGTTCATTGGACAAAAGGCCGCTGTTCCTGTCCTTCAGTGCCAAAGTCAATGGCTCAAAGCCATGCATTTGGCCTCGGCTAAAATCACATCATTTTGTGGTGTATTCATAATAGCAGTTTAGCACCGGATCCATATGGAGAAAACTTTATTAGCCAATAAGCATGTGGAGATAATCCCATTCCCTATAACAATAATGATAATCCCAGAACCCACCCACATTTTCATTTATCTCCCACTACAGTTGTTGGGGATTTCACTGTGGAGAGATTAGAGTAGATTTAAGTTGTGTGTGTGTGTTGGACGATGTGAGCACTGATGGCTGTGGGTGTTTTTTGGGAGATTGCCATGGTGCATGTTGCTTTGAATTGCACCAATTCATTGCCAGTTGCCATAGAGATGTAGAACTGAGACATTAAAGAGGCTTGTGGGGATTTGAAGGGGCTAATTGTATAGTAAAAACTGTAGGACTGCACTTGACACTGTGTCACAGATGTCATTTCCACCAGCCAAATTGTAACCGCAGACTTTTCAAGCAGCCTTTGTTCTGGAAATATTTCCCTATTCAGTTTCTTTAAGTGTTTCACAAAAAAAAATTGAAGATAAGAACTTCCAAATAGGATAAGCTCCTTCCTAAAATATAAATCCTCTATACTTCAAAGTCACACTTTCCTTCAGAAATCAGTCTAATATGGCAATTTGGTGCTCAAGAAACATTTCTTTTTATCATCAATCTTGAAAATCGTGCTGCTTAATATTTTTATGGAAATCAACCATGTTAATTTTTTTCATGAATCTTTGATGAATAGAAAAATCAAAAGAACCGCATTTATTTGAAATGTTTTGTAACATTAGAAGTCTTTACTGACACTTTTGATCAATTTAATGTGACATTGCTGATTAAATATTAGGGCTGCACGATAAATCGCATGCGATATTTAATGTGCATTTTATCAGTAAAGCCGGTTCTGTAATCAGCGGTAATCAGAGAACGGCTTTATTGACAAGATGCGTGTTAAATATCGCATGCGATTTATCGTGCAGCCCTAATGACATTAAATATATATATAATATATATATATAAAATACATTTATTTATTTATATATTTATATATTTTCAATATACATATATATTGTATTTAAAGACCCATTTACCAGGTGAAAAAGTGTGATATTATGCTAAGTTAAATAATTGGCTTTTATATTGATATTGTACTGAAGCCAAAGCAAATTGTTAAAATATTTTCTGGAAAATGTTGACTTTGTATTTTTACTACCGACACTCAGAGTAATAGTAGATGTATAAAAGACCTGAAGTGAAAGACTTATAATTCAATACTATTAGAATAGAAAAACAAATAGCAGCAAAAATGTGTAGCACCTCATGGAAGTGAGCTGTCACTGCTGTGCTCTTTTGTTGGTTCTCTAGTTTCCACATGAACCCTTCTCTGATTGGTGGATCTCTCTTTAGAATCGTTCATAGTGTAGTTCTCAGATTTGAGGCCTCTTATTTCTCCATCTGAAGGTATCAAATCATACTTTGTGAAAATGATGAATCATCTCTCATCGTCAGTTTGTGTGTGTCAGCACTATGTGCATCCTTCGTGCAGCAAGACATCCTTTTTAATGGTTAATACCTAAATCCTTAATTCCCCTTACCCACTCCACAGGTATCCCTCGCTGTCAATGCTCAATCCTATCATCACTTGAAGTGTGGAAGAGATTAAAAGGCGGGTCCAGAGATTTCAGAAATGACTAGCCAGACTGTTAAGTAAAATCCTGAGCGCCCTCACTCATCCAGTGTCCCTCCTCCCTGTGCTGACTTGGCAGAACTATTGAACAAATCAGGGCAAGTCAGTTCCTTCCACACAGAACACTGAATAGATCTGCTGCCCAGAGGTTCTCCACCTCAGTGCAAAGTCAGTCCTCTATCCATTAAAAATACCACATCCATGGAGGGTTGTGGTGGAAGGATGAGGCACAAATTGCCCTTGAGGGGATTATTTCCATGTGCTGGTTACACAGATGGAGAACGTGAAAGCGAATCTGGTGCTTTCGTGGGAGGAACGAGCATTTGTGTGGAGCTCTTAAACTATGTGTGATGCTGTGCCTGGCTCACTATAATGCACAATTATTGTTTTAGTCTGATTGAAATAGAAAAAGTGGATGCAAATTAGACATATACAGGTATTGGGTAATGCAGTACATTGCGGTAATGAGCATGCACGCTATTGATATCTACAGCATTTCAAAATGCTTAGTGAATAGTTCTAGGTACCTTATTATCCAAATTGATACAAATTTTTAAATGCACAGTAGTTTTTTTTTTTTCATCAACATGATGCAAAACAGGATGACTGAAATGCAAGTTCACTCTCTTGACAGTAGGTGACATTTAATGGAAATTTTTCAAAAAATTCAGGATTTTTTTATTCACTATGGTGTTATCAAACACCAAATACTTCATATTTATTTTCAAACATTTATGTACACTTTACACTATATTTTACATTATAATCTGAACTAATGCATGCCAGCGCAGAAAAAAATCTAGATATTATTTTTCTATTATTATTTTTAATTGTGTTCTTTTGCATTTTAATTAGTTTGATCCATTTATTTATTTATACATTTGTATTTTGTTGTATTTAAATGTTCAAGATTATTATTTTTGTTATTTGAAAAGTAGTACATTTTCTATTAAGAGGACAGCAGTGAAGTTTGTTTATCTTTTAACCTGCTTTTGTAATGTAAGTAAATGCCATGGTAATATATCACATATATAATGTACATTGTCATGATAAAAATGTAATCAATTATTGCAATAGGAACATTTAATGCGATATGAAAATTGATATACTATGTATACCCTAGTAAAAAAGTAATATATTTAAAATTCATTTATTTAATACTAAGTATAATTCAAATCTATTAACATGTTTACTGACATATCGCTCCAGACTTACTGATATAAAAATTAAAATGAAACTTAATATGTAGTACTACTTATGCACAATGCACATTTCTTAATAATAATCCTAAAATGTGTTTTAATGCCACTATTGATGAGGATTGTATGATCTTTGAATAATATCGGTCTTTAAATGCAAGATATTAAAAGTGTACCTGAAATATACTTGCAATAGTTCCACTTTAGCACAATCAAATCTTTAGTTGGACTTCAGCACTACTTCCGCACTATTAAAGTGCATTAAGCACAAAATTAGTTGTTCCAATTTAGCAGACTTTAAGTATACCAGTTTAGTATAACAAAAGTACAATTGCAGGGTATTAAAATGTATTTATACTTAGCATGAAATAAATATATTTCAAATACTTTTTTGTATATATTTTTTTACTAGGGTATACTATATACAATAAAAAACAACTATAAGATGTGTGGTCTTTGCAATGTTTTATATCTTTTATTTCATCTCATTCAATTTATACTGCAAACCCACAACTTAAAAAATATAAATAAATATATAAACACAAAAATGTAATTTCTTTTACAGTGGCGCTGTAGATTTATCAGTAGTGCCGTGCCAGAACAGTGTTTTAGACAACCAGTTTCCAGTGAAAATGAAGATACAGCGGTCCCTGCCTGGTTTCCCACTGATTTGTTCCTGGCTCTTAGCTCGTCCAGCTTGTTTTCAAGTGAGCAGACATTGGCAAGCAGGATGCTTGGCGCAGGGCGTTAGTTTGATCAAGACATTAGCTGAGCATGAAGCCGTACCCCAAAAACTCTTCTGCAGCTCAGTCGGGAGTCCAGGGAAGCTGAATGTTAATCTGTGTTGGACTTGTTCCATGTCGAGTAAGGTTTGTCTATCATAAGCTATCCCAAATGAGAAAGGCAAGAAGACTGTTCAAATTACAGTCTCCTTTTTCTCCTTGTCTGGTTGCTGATATAGATCTAAACTACAAAGTCTTTGTGGCCCTCTTCAGGTAATCCTCAAAGGGGGTCATTTTTCGTAACACAACAGGGTTGTTGAATTTGCGTTACTCATTCACAATGTTCCTGCAGCATAAACTGTGTGGATGTGTTTATGGCCAGATGCTTGGTGGGAGAGAAACATGAGGAGATTTTATTTTATCATAAAGTCTTTCAGGGGGTGAATAACATGAGTGACTGTGTAAATATATCGATGTATCAGTTCATAAATTATTCCTTCAGGGAATCCTGTCTCTGCAGTGATGTCACAGTTGATGATCTCACATGATGAGCTCAGTCAGTGTTATTTAGACTGTGTCTGCCAAGAGGCACTTCACTGATCCACTGATTTTTATCAGGCTGTGGGACGGTTCCAATGGCAGGCCTGGAAGATACTTTATGGAAGATTTACTTTTTTACAGACTAGAGTAGAGAGCACTTTAAGATCTGAAGAATCTTTATACTTCCTGTACAACGGTAAATTTCTGTGTGTTTGTCCCAGGTCCACAGGGCGAGAGAGGCCGGGATGGCTTACCCGGTAAAGAAGGTAAGTTGTTTCATGTCTTTTCACTGTTCATTGCAATCTAAAATACACACATTCACACTTCTGCACTCTCACATTAAATGTCTGCTGCCCAACCTTGGTTCATTCATACAGTTTGTAAGGACTAGAACCTTTCTAAACGCAGCAGGTTTCCCATGATCACTGCATGCATAAAACAAGAAATGATGGAGATTCGCCCAAAGAAGAAAATTCACCATTTAATCACTCTAAACTAATTTCAAAAGTTTTACTGCCAAAATATATACTGCCAAAATAACTCTTTAAACAGTTGTTTAAAATTAATTTTCAAAATCTTATTTTGTGTTCTGCAGAAGTATGGTTTGAAATGAAATGAGGGTGAATAAATCATGGCAAAACTTACATTCTCACTCTGAGAGGAGAAAAAGAAGAGCATTAATTTGTACATTACATATGTTCTCTGTCTCTGTAGGTAAACTAGGGTCTCGAGGTCTGCCAGGACCCAAAGGTGATGCGGGCAGCAGAGGTCCATCTGGGGCTCCAGGGTCTAAAGGAATAGCTGGTCCTCCAGGTACTTTGAACAAATCAAGCCCACCACACTATCGCAAGATTCTGAGCTCTAAATCACTCTGTGACTCAAGACAAACGCCGTGACAGACTAGCTATGTCCTCTTAACACATCTCATGTTGCTGAGCACTTAAAGGACTAATTCACCCAAAAACGAGAATTTACTGAAATTTCACTCACCCTCAGGCCCTCCAAGCTGTAGATGAGTGTTTCCTCATCAAAACATATTTGGAGAAATTTAGCAATGCATCACTTGCTCACCAATGGATCCTCTCCAGTGAATGGGTGCCGTCAGAATGAGAGTTCAAACAGCTGATGAAAAACATTACAGTAATCCGCATGACTCCAGTTCATCAATTAACATCTTGTGAAGTGAAAAGCTGCATGTTTATAAGAAACAAAACCACCATTAAACTGACAAAAAAACTACTTCAAACTGTTGTTTCCAGCTAAAATATGAGCCCCTATCCATTATATTTCTTTATCCAGTGGAAAAGTAATCTGAATCAGGAAATAATTATGCACAGATAAAGCACCAATAACAAGTATGTACAAAACTGTTGTAAACAAATTATGTCATTGGATTTTGATGTGAGAGGTAGAGCATGGGAAGAACTTTTTCACTGGAGGAAGCGTTATTATCAATTACCAGCTGGTATTTTTGCTAGAAGTGATGGTTTAAAGTTAAAATGCCTTGATGATGTATTTGTTAATTACAAACATGCAGCTTTTCACTTCACAAGACATTAATTGATGGACTGGAGTCACATGGATTACTTCTGGATTATAGTGATGTTTTCATCAGCTGTATAGACTCCCATTCTGACGGCACCCATTCACTGCAGAGGATGCAAGTGATGTAATGCTAAATTTCTCCCAATCTGTTTCGATGAAGAAACAAACTCATCTACATCTTGGATGGCCTGAGGGTGAGTAAATTTTCTGCACATTTTAACTTTTGAGTGAACTATTAATTTTTGCTTTCATCTTTGTCTTAGACTCCCAAAAGTTGTCTTCATACATCAGTTTACATAATTGTATCCACTAACAACAGAGCACTGTTTTCTTGTGGAGGGCTGACCTGTGACTTTCAAGAATGTGGTTTCTCACCATGCTGACTTTTCTGCCATAAGAGACAGTACAGTATATGGAGACATTGCCGAGTCAGCATTGAGCTCTAAGCCCTCTTGCCAAAATATTTGTGCTTGGATCACACTATAAAAAAATATTTTTTTGTTCACAGCATGTACTGCTGTGCTGGGGTTTGCCTAAAACACACACACATCAACTAACATACGTATCACTTACCCCAAGGCTCAAAGATAGTATAGAATTTAGTTTAGAAACATGGCCACAGGTATGAAAGGTCTTTTACCAGAGCCATGACTGACTGACAGGGGCTTCAAATGACCTTAGGTCTTTACCCAGGCTTCTCCACCATATGAATCCAATCTAAATTGAACATGAAATATGTATACAATACTTGCTTCTTATTTCTTCCATATGTTTGCCATTGTATTGTTTTTCTTGGATTTGCCTTTTTCTTTACGCCTTCATGTCATGCACAATGAACTGTATCTGATTGCTGTATTCTCTCCAGATAGGTATGTTTACATAAAGCAAAGTAGACCTATAGGAAAACGACGTCATGGTATATAGGTAGCTGACATGGAGTGTTACAAGCTGTACTTCATCTAAAGCTTTTTTAAATTTCTTCTATAATTATTTTATATGCAGTTTTACAACTTTATGTTAACTGAGGGATTGCATAGACATTTGTATGTTTAATTATTTGTACTTATAAAATTTCATTTATCACACTGCAGGACTTAAAGGTTATTCTAAAAATTATGTAAATTAAATAATATAAATCAAATAAATGACATAAATTGTACATTCATATAAATTTTACCTAAAATCTTGAGGAAATGGGAGCAATCCTAACAGAGCAATATTATTGGTGGTACAATGATACAGTGCTAGTATGAGAAAGATAATTACTGAATACCATATTCATAGACATTCATTAAATTGTATTTACATGAAAGAGCAAAATGCATTTTAATCATGATAAATTAGTTGTTTTTTTCTATGCTTAAACATGACAATGCAATACTTACTTGTAAGTGAAGGATGGTATGGGCAAATTCAGTGATCAGATTCTTTTGTGTCTGAGTCAGCAGAAAACCGGTACACGCACTTCCTGTTAAAGGGAAACAGGACATCCTCTTTACAATGATGCTCTTACAGACACACAATGAACTTTTATTCACTCAATTAGCATTCCATAAAGCAGCAGACTCCACGTGACTTGTGCTGTGACACTTCTCTAAGAATGAATTTTGTCCACTGGTAAGGCTGTTTATTTACACATGTTGTTGGCATTGTTTCAGTGACCAATTCTCTGCAGGTATTATACAAATCAAACAACAGAGATAATAATAAGTCCAATTTACATAGAAAGGAGGTATGTTTGTCTCATGGAATGGCACTACTTCAGTACATTTAGCACCTGTTTAAGCTGGATTGTGGGTGGTTAGTGAATAATAAGAAGCAGGTTTTTACACTGCAAGAGTGACACAGTTGTTTAGTGAATTTGGCCCTCGGAAAATGAAAACTGGTAACTCTTATTAAAGGAATTTTATCCTACTTCTCATCTAACCTCTTTTCCAAATAACTTTCGTAAACATTTTGTCAAACACCTAAAGGAGAGACTGATGAGAAATTGAGTGATAAGTGCCCAGGGATGTCAGAGGAGAGGAAAAAGAAAAGAAGGGACAGGAACAGAGAAAAAAAACAAATACAGATGAAACTCTTGTTCTGTTTGTTTTGCAATCACACTCCCACACCAGCCGTGACGTAGCTTTTCTTTCCTTCATTTTGTTCCCGCTTAATCAAAACTAACAGGCAACAAGGAACCAGCTGGAGGGATCTTATGTAGATGCACATGTTCACACACACACACACACACATCCAGACAGAGAGCTGTATGAGTCAGCGCAGCCACTGGCCAGCTTTTAATATATTACACACCAGAGTCGCTAATATGCTCCGGCATTTAGCAGTGTTTATTTGAGTTTTCCCAGCTCTCCATGTTAGAGCCCAGCACATGGCCATTATGAACCCCCTCCTGTTAATTACAGCCCACACACACAGTAACACGCAAATACACAACACTCTCCTGCCCCTCTTATTAACCTGTTTCCTAGAACAGCCATGTATCGAAACCAAATACCTCATTCCACCTCAATCTGCGCTCTCTCTTACTTTCTCTCCTTCTCTTTAGGATGTTAAACATCCCGTAACTTCCTTGGAATCCTTTTATCATATACTGTAGCTGCTCAACATAGTGTGCAAAAAAACACTCTATACGTTCTCCTGTTTCCTGTTAGCTTTCTGTTGAATAGGACAAGAGTGCCTTATAATTGACTACTCGGGGGAAAGATAGCTTGAAAGGTAGCACTTTGTGGGGGTTTTTTAGTTGAGCTTTCTCATACTTTTTTTTTTTTTTTTGCTTTCTCCTCAGGTCCTCAGGGACCACCGGGCCTCCCAGGAGAGAGGGGCCTCCCTGGCCCTCCCGGGCCCCCTGGACCACCAGCCCCTGTACCTGAACAAGATGGTATGATTACTAATCATTTAAGGAGCTTAAATAATAATGTACAATCATCCAGTCATTATCACAAAATAAAAACCAGAACCCAGGGTGATTAGGTCTTGTATCACCCAAAAGGGGTTTATTTTGCAATATTGACTGACTGATTGTGCTTTTCTACACTTACTACACCATCGTTCAAAGGTTTGGGGTCAGAAAGATGTTTATTTTATTTATTTTTAAAGAAATTAATACTTTTATGCAGCAACAATGCATTAAATTGATAAGAAGTGGCCATAAATCCATTTATAATATTACAAAAAATGCGGTTCTCTTCATCAAAGAGGCCTGAAAAAATGTAGCATCTCAACTGTTTTCTACATAGATTTTTTGACCAAATAAATGCAGCTTTGTTGAGCATAAGAGACTTCTTACACCCATGAAAAAATCGTTCCGACACAAGTTTGAGCAGTACACAAACGTTTGAGTTCGGTAAGATTTATTCATTTTTCATTCTTTATTGTTTATTGTTTGTGTTCTACTCTTCTTGTATTGTTCTATAATCATCTTCGTCTTCCTTGGACTATATGTGATAATCCTATTTTCGTGGCTGCTTATCAAATAACAAAATAAATGGACATGAAACGTTGCTTTAAATTGAAATTATTTTGTAATGTAAAAAGAAACAGACCACGGTGCATGTGATAGAAGAAATGTAGGAAATAATTTCCCTGCAAAGGCAGTCAGTTATAGAGTTTTGGGGTCATTATACAACAATATTTGACCACAGAATGCCACAATTGACCAATCAGAATCAAGTATCCTGGAGAGCTGTTATATTTGTCCGCTTTGCTGTTTTTGGACCCCGTTCTCACTCGCTCTCTCTGTCTGCCTGGCTTCAGGAACTGTGTATGCTGCACTCTCCCATGTGGATTTTTCACACCTTTAGAATCGAGTTGTGAGGGAAATTGCTGTAGTGCAGAACCAGATGGATGCATGTGGACACACACACACACACGTTGTAGTCAGTTGCTTTCAATATGGAATAGGTTCATCTGTGAGAGCAGGCCTGTTCTGCAAGTCTACACCTCATTAGTAGCCAGTCATGGGACGGTCAGTTCAAATTCATCTACGTTTTACACTGATACTTCCTGATTGTGCAATGGGAAACTTCAAATGAGTCCCAAATTAATGTCAATAGAAAAAGAGGAATGGATTGAGGAATTAGTCTAACTTAGGGGCATCTCTTCTCTCATTCCCCCTTTTTTCCTTTCCCGCTGTTGATTAAAATGGCAGGTTTCAGGAGGTAACTCAGGCTAGACTCAATAGTCACATGCTGGGAAAAAGGCCTGTCTGTCTGCTGCTGATGTCACTCAACCACTTCCAGATGTGCACAGCCAAAACAGCAGGGTAGAGCAGGAGAAGTGTGTGTATGTGTGCTGTCTTGAGACTTACACTCAGTTAAACTATAAGCACGAGGGAGTGTTTTAGAATAGAAGCAATAATATTTTAGTGTGTGTGTCGTCACTCTCGAAGAGGACTGATCTACGTAGAGGACTGACTCTTCACCTCAGCTCAGTTTTATATCTGCTCTCTGTTGAAGGGGACACAGGCCAGACCTCATAAAGTTTGAGAATTTTAAATTTAGGGGGCCTTAGAACTTTATAACACAGTTAAGGCTGTTATTCCCATGATCCTACCTTCAAAGTAATCAGGACAATTAAAGGGTCTGCAAGGGGCTTCCATAGACAAACACTGTCTTTATTGGAGTTTCCTGTCTGGGTCTGAGCTCAGGGATGCCCTGCAGCCACTGAGACTACAGCAGCAAACTCACCTGCTGGGAGGAGACAGACGGACAGACAGAGAGGGAGATGGGAATCTGCCATTGTAATTTCAAAGCCTTTCCTCTGTGAGAACATTGCCAGCGGTTACAAAACCAATCAGAGGAGACCAGACAGTAGACATATATTATGTCTACTGTGAGTAGAGTAGCAACAGTACATTTCAGAGTACTTTATTGGCATGATTGTGATACAGTACATACAGTATTTCCAAAGCACCAATGCACACGACAAAAGCAGTGACAAAAAATAAGAGAAATGTATTATTACAAACATAAGGTGCCAGTAAAATATATAAACAAATAGGAATTCAGCAGTAAAAAAGAGACAAACATTTTTGGCATGTTTCTATACTATGTTTTTATTGGTTGATTTTATAAATGTATCAAATAATATGCTTTGATTTTCAGGATTTCAGGGTAACAAAGGGGAAAATTACAGACCACACAAGAGAAAGGGACAAGGAAAACCATTAGGCTGTGATACAAAAGAAAACCGCTGGCTTGTATTTTTATGTCATTTTTGTGATTTAATTCACTTTTCGTGACAGAAAATAAAAAGCCAGCACATCAAAATGCCACAACCACTGTTATAATTTATGGTGTGCTAATATTTTACAACCTGCTACAAATGATTCACTGTTTATTCTTGTCTAAACAGAACCGTCTACAGGCAAGTAGCCATAATGACACTTTGCTTAAGATCCTGGACATCAATTTTTATTTTTCGTTACAGGCCTGAAAAAAGACAGTCTGCTTCATAACAACTTCCCCGACCTCCGAGTGACCCCTTCAAATGGACCACCAGGTCCACCTGGACCCACCGGTCAGTGAATCAGAATTATTTTCTTCTTGTTTGTTTTTGTTTATTTGCTAGCTTTTTACAGTATTTTTCACTATTGGACATTTATACCATGGATAATTACTAAATTCAAATTGATTTGAAAACAAAGAATAAAAATCTGATGAATTTATGCCACATACTCACTGAATGTTATATGTGATTATATGAAGGTAATTTAAGACATTTAAGTAATTTTATTGATACAAATATTTACTAAAAATTCAGTTGAATTTATATTAAATCGGCATAGTATGTACAGAACCTTAGTGAATCTGCCTTAATTTCATTGTGCAGTTTTTTTCCCCTGTTAATGTCTCAACGTGAATTAAAATTTCAGCCATTAGTTCTTGTGCTACTTTTCCGCACACTGCAAATTGGATATTGAATACTGATCACACAGCAAAAAACTCAGTTACCTCATTATTTGTGGCCTGTCTTCAATTACTTTGCAGTGCGATTATTACAATGAATTTTACTCTAGATAAAATATGATATATATAAAATATTTGTGTGTGATGAGATTTTAATGTTTTATTCTGGCTCTGGACACAAACCCAGTCTCCTTTTTCTTCTTTGAAGTGATTTTTCTCTTTAGAACTACCATCTCTTTAATGCAGAAAAGCATTTAAAAAGCTTTAGCACAAGCAACCATCTTTAACATGAATACCACTATTTGCATGGCATCTCAGCAGGTATTAAAACAATGAGCCATTCTCCGATATGTCACTAAATTTCAGCTTTTGCAGCTCAACGTCAGACTTTTGTTTTGTCTGAAATGTCTATGATAAAATTGATAATTAATTCAAAGACAAAGCCTTTAATTGTTAAATAATGCTTGCTGGTTGATACATTTCACCTCGAAGTTCCTGCATAATTTCAGACCATTATATATCCATAACTTCTTTATTGAGTTACTTTTAATTATCAGCTGTTTTATGTTAAAAGATGGTTTCCCATAGCAGCATCCATAAGGTATATTTAAACGCAAATGTGATATTTGAACTGTAGGAAATTGTTTCAGCAGGTTAACAAATGAAAGTAAGCCTGAAACAGTTTGATTTGATCCAAATGGACAGTTTTAATCATTATTCTATCATTTGAGTATCACGCTAGACATCATAATGTTTTCCATATGTTGTTTCGAGCTGCATCATGAAACAGTCGGTGCAATGCCATAACATCAGATCATGAAGGGTTTATTCAGATGTGTCTTTTGCAGGTTCTCCAGGACCAATAGGACCCAGTGGACCACCAGGCCCTATGGGACAAACTGTAAATTAAAGACTATTACTTATGTGAGCGTGTGAATATGTGTGTGTGTACTAATCACATCACCTTTTTTGCGTGCATTCAGGGAAAGCCAGGAGCTCCTGGTTTGCAAGGTCCTGTGGGGCCAAAAGGCGAACGAGGCGAAAGAGTGAGTGCACAAGCATAAACCTACCCAGAGTGCAACACTGTGCAGTTCTCACCCTTAATTTACCTCCACAGGGACCTCTTGGATATCCAGGAGAGAGAGGGTTCAAAGGAGAGCCTGTAAGTCTCCTGAAACCGTACAGTAACTTTGTATAAGAAATAGATCATTACTGACACTTTTTCTTCCTAGGGAGCACTAGGACCTAAAGGAGAGCCAGGGGAGAAAGGTCTTCCGGTAAGACAAGCCCAGCAGGAGTCCTGTTAGTTGCACACTCACTCCCTTTGCACGAGAGAGCGTGGGAGAGAAATGATCAGACCCTGAGCACACGAGTGCAGGGAAAATGTTTAAATCCATTGATTTTAATGCAGCAACAATCTCTTTCCTTATACCTGCTTATCGTTGTTCTAGAGCGAATTGAACGTAAGAGATTTTGACATTTGCCATGATGTTTTTGTTGTTCTTGGTTTTAGGTTTTCATTGCTCATCCTGCCAACCATCTGTGTTTTAACATCAACAATCACGTTAAATCCATCAGTGGCGTTTTCATCTTGATAAATGGGTGCAGAGTGATTTTCATATTTTCAATTTGTGAAAAATATAAGCCAAATTAAAGAACGAATGAAAACTCCACTGAAAGGATTTGCTCCACAAACGCTGTTCATTGCTTACTTACAGTACTCACTGTTAGCACATTATATGTCTTGGTTTTGTGTGCACTGGTATTTTTTCCATATGTTTTTGAACAAGAGGTTGCCCTTTATGGCTGATCTGAGACTGGTTTTTGGCTTCTCACTGTCTAAAGGGCGGTTCTGAACTAGTCTCATGTTAGCATACAAGGGCATAATCTATTCAGAGTGTGCAGTGATGTTGTTGATTTTGATTGGTTGGTGGTTGGGGCTGTCTCTGAGTGTTTCCCCTGTCCTCGAAAGCTGATTCCTTTTCGTTACTGTCTCCATGGCTGCCTTTCACAGCCACCAGTCTCTTAGCTACCAACTCTGGCATATACCCAACACATAGAGAAGTTAAATCTTTGCTTTGTCATGCTGTTACGGCAAAGAAGAAATGTTGTACTATTGATATAACCTTTGTGTGTACACCATTGTAAATTGATTAATCTGGGTAGTCCAGCAACCAAACCGCTGGGTCAAAACCGCAGGGGGGCAGAAATAAGAACAAACATCTTTGCAAGACGCTGTGCGGTGTGTGTTGTGTATATGCTGCATTTTAGCATTTGCAGGGATTTGGTGTGTGGATGGACGTGTGGATGGATACAGCTATCCCTCAGTGTCCCACAGTGCATTGCTGCATGATCCCATCTCATTGTGGTGCTTGTGATCTTCCTTTTGCCTCCTCAACTTACATCTAACCTTTCAATTTTGAGTTCCGTAGCGCTGAGCGATTACTAGTCAAGCAAATGTTCTGTTTAATTGCATTACGTTATCATACTCGACCTATTGTGAAAGGCTTGAAAAGCTTTTTAGTTCATAGCAAATTGATGTATGGTTTTCTGCATGGCCTGCCGAACCCAGAAGATTTGTGTTATTAATCATAAGACAGATAATTTCATTAAATCCTATAGGTGTAGCTTCTCTGCTGTATGTAGACTCCTTAGATATGTATATATAACATGTATAAAGACCATACAATTATTTGAAGATTAATCTCTTCACATTTATCAACGTGAGGCCAAGCGCTCATATAATACCGTGGAGAAAGATTCTGGACCATAGCCATACTTGCATCCCTTAATGAATATGGTATTTTTTTTGGAAGAAATTATATTATATATTGTTTGCTGTTTTATTTGGCTAGATGAACTACCTCATGCTCTCACAGGCACTAACTTTTACATAAGCCTTACATACATAACTCTTTCCTGAGTTCATCAATAATACCGTTTTTCTAACGTGTGCTTGAGCTTGGGACTGTTGTGTAGAATGTTATGTGACTAGTTTCTTTACACTGTTCAAGAAATGCCTACCAAAGCCACATAAGCAAGTATTTCAGCAGATTGTTTTGTAAAAGGGCACAAAGGTTTTCCGTTAGATTTGTTTTTGATGTCCACATATACTGATTCTTTGTAGGGCTGGGTAAAAATATAGATTTCCCTATTAATATTTCAGTAATGTAATTAAGATGGAAGGTTGTCTGTCAGTCTTTCCTGCACTGCTTTTCAACAATACTCAGCACCATGACAAAAGCAGTCAGAGTATTTTACCACTTAAGTATGATTAAAGAACAAATTACTTTTATCTCACAAACCAATTATTTTTAATGAATCGCAAACATACAACTCGATCAGTGTAGTCTGATTTACAGACAAATGACTCCTATGAGCCGGTTCTTTATAATTAATCAAAAACGTGCAGGTGATCAGTTTATCCCTGTTGCTGAAAGGAATGACTCATTTGAGCCGGTTCTTTTCAATAATAGTTCAAAAAGGCATGTTACTAGTTTGAATCATGAGAGAGAATTTCTTGAATGCAGATTGAGTGAAATATCAAACCAAGAGTTTGAGAATCAGATTTGAACTGAACCGGGAAATCTTTATTGATACCCAACTAAAATTCCATGAATTTATAATCCCTGTTGAAAAAATACAAACAGCATATGCTGGTTAGGAATGTTTTGAAGCATGGCAGCTGGTTTAAGATGGTCCTTAACTGGTACTGAGCAGGAGCTAGTTGCTTAGAACCAGTTTAGGACCAGCACATGACCAGCTTAAACCAGCTCATGACCAATTAAGGACAAGCTTAAACCAGCTCAGGACAAGCTTAAACCAGCTGCCATGCTTCAAAACATACCCAGCATATGCTGGGGGGGGGGTTTCAACAGGGATGGTCAGAATTCATCAGGCATTTAATATGTATCATATGAATATGATATAAATGGATATAACTGAATATGATTACCTGGCTCTGATTGGACACCAGTATTTGATAGACATGTCTTCAATTTGAGCTAATTATGGTGGCTTTGGTGTAAGAGCATCTTTTACCTTGAGATGAGCAGACTAAAGACTAAAGAAATGTGTACATTGTCAACTAAGTATAAGTATTGTCCTGATGACTCTAACATCTCTTTAGTTTAAAGGAAGCTGCTCACCTCTTGGCAGAGGTGTAAAGAGTACCTAAAAACCATACTTGAGTAAAAGTACAGATACCTTACAGTGAAAATTACTCCACTACACGTTACAAGTCACCAATTCCAAAACAACTTGAGTAAAAGTCTTAGAGTATCTGATTTTAACAGTACTTCAGTATTTTACTTATACTAAATATAGGCTCAAAGATGCACTAGTCAAAGAGACACGCCAGTCAAAAACTAACGTTGTGGAGAAGCTGCAGAAAACAGGCAGAGGCAAGGATATATGTGCTGGTATTTAATGGAAAAACTAGAACAAACAATAAGCCAAAAACCAAAGGGAACAAAGAACAGAATGACTGGCAAACAGACAACCATTACAATCAACAACTCACAAGGAACTAAAGAACAACTAGGGCTATATATACACATGGGGCTAACAAGCTGAACAAGATAAGACACACCTGGGGAGACTAATCAAGGGGAACCAATGAACAAACGGACTACAAACACCACGGGAGACAGGAAGTGACATAAAAGTCCAGGGCAAGGCACAGAGAGCATGAAACAAAAACAAGAAAGAGTTGATTTGTGAGGAGAGCAATCACATTTATTTTCTAAAACCAAAATAAAACTGAACACCTCAAAATTGCACAAAAAAAGGTCTCTTCAGTATAATGGATAAATAAAATAATGTTAAGTAAAATTAAAAAGCCGAAGCCTTCTTGCAGTGGATGTGCTGGTTTGGGCCTCATTGCCGGCTGCAGTCATGTCCTCATCTCATATATAAAACACCTCTGATTCACAAATACTTGCTAAGGAACTCGCATTCACATAAAGTAGCCTTGTTGACAAGTTTGGGTGAGTAAGGGCAAAACGCAGAAGATGCAGTACTTTCAGTGACCTGTAATAGGCAATATCACGTCTTTTGTAGCAGAAATAAACTGCTGCAGAAAAAGCTAGGTCCATGCAAAATGTAATGTGTAACTGCAACACTCATTTCAAATGTAGTGGAGTAAAGAGTACAGATACTCGTTCAAAAATGTAGTGAAGTAAAGAGTAAAAGTTGCTAATATCTTTGATACTCAGTACAACTACAAAGTACCCGAAAAGATACTCAAGCACAGTAACTAATTACATTTACTCCAGTACTTTACACCTCTGCCTCTTTGTCTTTCAGTAACATAGTCTGAGTGTACTGGGAATGTTAAATGCATGTTTAAATCTAAAATGATTGAACATTTGGTCTTGATTTGCTCTAAGGAGCCTTTGGCCTGGACTCAGAAAAAATGCATGCTCTTTAGTCAAGACTTACAGCATGGCCACATTAGAAAAGAATGAGAAAAGACAGGCAGAGCTACATCTGATGTGTAGTTAACTGGAGTTCTGTAGTGAATGGAGTTGAGAACTTAACCTGCTAACTACGGTAATGGATTGAGATTAATGTAATTGATTAACAGAATGACTATGCATCTTGGCGAGCGCTTTTGTTTGGCTTGTGCCCAATACCTTGACGGCTGTATCTATCTCCACAGGGGGATGGGATACACCAAATCCGCGAGGCCCTGAAGATCTTAGCCGAGAGGGTTTTAATCCTCGAGACTATGATCGGTATCCATGGTGAGTAGGAGGCCAGAAGTAGATTTAGGTCCATTTTAAAGGACTTAGGATCAGGGGTCAGAGATTTCAGTGCATCTTTTACCCCACAACATCTTTGGAAAGCCAGTGAAGAGCAAAGTGTGGTGGAGGACAGGGGCCAAGTACTCAACCTGCCATCCACAAGCCCAACCCCCCACCATGCTTGTCAAAAACTCTTGATCTTTGATAGGACTTTAATTTGAAGAACTTCCAAGACTTGCAGGCTGACTTAGAGCTGCTGGCTCGCAGGGTGCAGCTGCTGGAGGCGATCATCTGGCCAGGTAATGCCCGCCTCCCCTCCTCTAGCGAGTCAATCTACTGCCATCTCTTGGCCAGTTAGAAGATCAGCACACAGGAAGGATTATATGAATCCAAAAAAAGACTCCATCCAGGGCCAGACTCCGGCAGTGTTTCCCAGTTACTACCTCTCATAAAGTTGATATGCAACCACTAGGTATTTAGTAGATGCTTTCCCATCCATAGTGACTTACAGTAGGCTACATTTACTATGGAGATAAAGCTGCTGCAACAATCCGGTTTCAGTGCCTCCCTGAAGCATGCAGTGTGATGATGGGAACCGCAGGAAATCACCCCAGTAATTCATGAATCACCCCTTCTGAAGTTTGAAACAACATCCCTTGAATTACGAGTAAATATTTTAGGCACTTCTTCCTGTGATTGGAGACCCAGCATTACCCACCAAAACACAGCCATCGCAGGGCTCCAGACTCAGAAATCACTAGGTTGAAATTAGCTACTAAAAGACAGCACTTAGGAGCCAAATGAATTCTTATTTGTGAAATTTCGGAATCGCTTGATAAAGACACTTGCTCAGACATTGTATAAACCAGGGTGTTCTAGTGATCATGATTGTATTTGTGCCATATATTCATGCATTTTGTAAGAATGTTTATTCCTGTTCGGGGAAAAATAAAATATTATGTTGATTGTCTTACATTCCCATACAGAGTTTACCATACAGTTGATTAAAACTTTTAAATGGACCTAATATTGAAAAAAATAATAATAAATTGTATAATAATAGAGTATAATTTATTAATTTATATTAACAATAAGAAGTATTTAGTTTTTATCAAGGTTTTCGTTACAGTCGATTACAGATGGACCTTACTGTGCTAAACAATAATCAGTAATACTTTTAAAAATATATAAAATAAATATTTTTTTAGAATATAATTTATTAATTTATACAGCAAATCTCTGTTTTGAGACTTTATCTAAACTACAATGATCTCTAATTATTTGCATATGAACAACCAGTCATTAAATAGACTGATTTAAGTCTCTGACATACTCCAAATCTGAAATATAAAAAAAAAAAAAAGAATCGGTTCATAAGAGCAATTTATTAAAGTTTTGGGCATCCATCCGCACATCAACGTAACTCTTTATGCAACTTTTAATGCAGATGTTTTCATGACTATCGCTAATAGTTGCTAAATTTTTTATTTATTTTTTGCAACAATTTTAGTCAGTCTGGGGCCCTGTTACCACCCTTCTTCATCTCAATATGGTATAACATGATCTCCATAATATCTCCATCTGCCACTTCTCTTAGAATGAATGGACTAGCCACTTACAAAGTATTTAGAGTAAGAGATTAGCACTTAGCAGCCTTAACTCTCTCTTCCTTCAACAGAACCAGATCTAGGGTCAGGAGACGGCCTCTTTGGCACACCGTCTCCAGATGTCTACCGGATTAAGAGAGCAAGAATGTCATCTTTCCGAGTCAATTCTCCCTTAATCACTGCTGAGACCAAGGTTCGAGGGAAGTAGTCTGCATATTCCAAAGAGCAAAGCCATCGTTTCCATCTCAATTTCATCCTCAATAAATCAGCTGAACTGGCAACAACTACACAAGTCTCCTGAGACACACACACACACATATTCTACAGATCCAACCGCTTTAGAATATTCCAGTTAGTCAAGAAGGGGGAGACACCTCAGGGAAGACCAAATGGTGCTGTATAAATTAACCACCTCTAATGGGACTCACAGGTTCCTAGCACCTCTCCTCTGGCAAATTATTGTGGTTTGCCATCATGTTGTGTCACTCTTATGACATAACCAAATGAACAGAATTAGTCTCAAAACCAATTAGTCAATTCGTCGTTTCACATGAAAAAGGAAACATGTTTTAAAATACGATACAGAGAAACAGTATTGGTGCTTGTGTAATTGTTTAACAAAATTGTGGGCAAAGAAGGGTACAAAATGTGATGGAGATGAAGAACGTTTTTTAGGAGAGCATCAAACCATATTATTAGTCTTTCCAGCTGCTGTTAGGAGCTCATAGTAACTTCAGCAAATGTACTGTATGACAAAATGCACATAACAATTCTGCTATTCAGCCAAACTCCACACTTTCCCCAATGAGAAAAACTGATTTCATATTCCGTTCCTTGGATTAAATGCACTATGTAGATAGAGAATCACCTTGTTTTTGAGGAAGAGGAAGGACAACTGAAAACATGTATAAACTTTAATAGACAGTTCTGTGGTAATAGGCTTTGGGCTTGGGTTTCCTCTCCCTTTTCAAACGGACTAAAGCTGTAACTAGATTTGAATTGGTAAAAACAAATTGTTTCAGTGGTTTTTCTTTCTTTTGTTAAAACATGCCTTTGGAGCATGATTTTAAGTGGTTCTGAATACAATTTTAGGATTCTCATCTGTTGTCTCTAGTTCAGCACAATTATTAAGTAACCCTAAAATAAATAAAATAAAAATGTGCAATTGTGTGAGCTAGAGGAGACCACACAAAATCCAACTGGAGCACAAGGGGAAGCGGGAAACTACTCTTATAACTTGAATTCTGTTTTTGTGTTTCATGCATGTCTTTCCATCACAGTTACATGCACATGCATAGGACTGGTTTCCTTCCTCAATTCCTTTCCATGTCTTCGTTTTCCTATATAAATATTGTTGTATTAATTATTTATAGATGACTATTAGCAATTGATGTTTTCTCTACTCTGTATACCAATTTATGTAACGTCGCCTGTATTTTTCCATTTCTAGCCTCTCGTGTGAATTTGTCTTGCCAGTGTGCAGAGTCTTACCAATTGATGTTAAAACGAAATAAACTTTGTTGTGCGTTTCTATTTTTAAGACAACCAATGGTTTTATCAATACTCATACTACCTGAATGTTTAATTTGTGATATTTTAATGAAGATTCTGTAGCCAAGAAACCTTGACTAAAATACTGACATATGCACATGACTCTACTGGCCTGAGAGGCTGCTAATGTGGATTTAATGATACACTGTAAAAAAAAATCCGTAAAATTTACGGTAAAAAAACGGCAGCTGTGGTTACCGGAATTTTACTGTAAAAAAATACCGTAGCAACGTTTTAGGTTTTATGCTTCTAACTTAAATTTACAGTTAAATATCATAAGTTCATTAAGTGATATAATGTTAACATACCAACCTATTGAAGTACTCAAATATGTTTTGTACCTTTGTAATCGTAGCAACGTTTTAGGTTTTATGCTTCTAACTTAAATTTACAGTTAAATATCATAAGTTCATTAACTGATATAATGTTAACATACCAACCTATTGAAGTACTCAAATATGTTTTGTACCTTTGTAATACACTGATAACCACCAAATGCAGGTGGTGATGAGAAAGTCACATGATGAACCAAAGCCCACCACAAGCGGTTTTTAAATAATAACATGTATAGAAGGTGCACAGTGTCATTCACACAAACGCTAAACACCATCATAGTAACACATGAAACTGAATAATAATGCAATAAACATTAATTTAACAACATTAGGTGTAACATACAACCCTAATATACAAAACTGACAAAACATAGTTATTTCAACAAAAAAAAACATCAAATTTGAAATGTAAAGCAGGGAATTCTGGGAATGTCAATTTACGGTTATTCACTGTAAATTATACGGTCTTTTTCACTTCCAAAAACGGTATACTACCGTAAAATTAATGTCCAATACATGTAATGTCCAATACAGTTTTTCACCGTATATAGTAGGGGAATTTACCGTTAACCATTTAACAGGTTTTTACTGTAGCATTTTTACAGTCTTTTACCGTTAAATTCACGGTCATTTTTTACAATGTAGCATGTCCGTGGAGAAGTTTCTTGGAACGTCCCATGTCTCATCCACTGGGACAGTTTGGTTGCTGTTCAGAGCGTTTTTCCATTCTTTCAACTTTTACCATAAAAGCTGCCAACACCATAATATAAATATATTAATTTTTTGATGCACATCCGCAAGTCATGAAGTAGTAAATACACAGTAACAGTTCACCAGGAAGAGCGATGCCTTGCTTAAAGTAATAGTTCACCAAAAAATTTAAATTTGCTTAAACCCTTAAGCTATCCAAGATATAGCTGAATTTCTTCTTCGGAACAGGTTTGGAGAAATTTAGCGTTATGTCACTAGCTCAGTAATGGAGTGAATGGGTGCCGTCAAAATGAGAGCTCAAACAGCTATTAAAACATCTACCAGTCCATCATTTAACGTCTTGTGAAGCAAAAAGCAAGACCTCTTCATTTCAAATGAATCCTCTATCCATAGTATTTCTATGGATGTTGTCTTTTCTGAATCAGGAGAGAAATATGCCCAGATCTGGCAGCGTTTACAAGTGAAAACAGTCCTTATAGATTACGGACACATAATTTGGCCAGAAGTGATGGTTTAACCTTAAAACGCCTTAATGATAGGTTTGTTTATTACAAACACACAACCTTTCCCTTCGCAAGATGTTAATTGTTGGACTGGAGACACATGGATGTCATGTGATGTTTTTATCGGCTGTTTGGACTCTCATTCTGATGGCACCCAAGGGATGTAATACTAAATTTCTCCAAATCTGTTCCAATGAAGAAACAAACTAATCTTCATTTTGGATGCCCTGAGAGTGAGTGACTTTTCAGCTAATTTTCATTTTTGGTTGAACTATTGCTTAAGTAATGGAATGAAATAGAGCAAACCTATAGTACAGCTTCAGTTTGAAGCAGTATCCCTGAGCTATGCCGCTGACTTCTTTCCTTTTGAGATGACCACAGCCTCCTCCCCAATCTGATCATCAATAAGCAGAGAGATTGCTCCATCCAGCTGCCCTGTAGCGGCCAGAGCCACAACAGCTTTCTCTGTGGGGAAGCCCATCTTCTCTAGCTGTTGCAACCTGAAAGTGCAGGAGTTTAGATAGATGAACAGCATTCAAGAGATCACTGTTGAAGAAACACTCATGTACAGTATGTACTAACCGTATAGAGGACACTGAGGACTTGGGTACTTCCACTTTGTCCGCAACACCTTCGGGTGCGTCGTGGAGTGATGCTAGTATCCCTGCTCTCAGCATCTCCTCCTCTAACAGCTGTGAATCAGTTGCCATCAAAGGCTCCTGATGCCACTCAGACACAGAATGCTGCCATGCAGAATGATCTTCCAACTGGGATCTACTGGTTGATGGCTCTGGTCTATTACAGAACAATAATAAAGCTCATTCATTCTAGTTACATTATGCGATTAAAAAAAAGGAATTAGTAGCATAAAGTTCACAGTAACCTTATTGAGGTGTTGTGGTAAACAGGCAGGTGTGGATGAGAGGTAACAGGGATGTAAGCCCATTTTGGCAAGCAGGCACATGCACCCAGTTTCTCTATCTGCTCCAGTATTTCAATAAACTCATTATTGTCTGTATAATATATTAAGGGGATTACTTTAATGAGTTTATAAAAAGGTCATTTTATACCGCAAAGTGTACCGCAGTGGTTCTCAACCAGGGGCCTCGGCAAACATTTAAGAGGGCTGCAGGGTGATTTAAGAATTTACACATACATATATATATATATATATACACACACACACTCTAAAAAATGCTGGGTTGTTTCAACCCAATGTTGGGTCAAATATGGACTAACCCAACTGTTGGGTTAAATTTTGGTTACATTTTTAAATTAGCTTTTTAATCCAACAGTTGGGTTAGTCCATATTTGACCCAACATTGGGTTGAAACAACCCAGCATTTTTTAGAGTGTATATATAGCAATAATCTAACTCTACATACTCTAACGCCGCAAAAAAAATCACATAAAATACTATATATATTAAATGAATTAAAAATCTGTCATCATTTACTCCACCTCATGTACTTCCAAACCTGTATGACTTTCTTTTGTGGAATGTTGGCAAGTAGTTTCGGTTCCCATTGACTTTCATTCTATAGACAAAAAAATGCAATGAAAGTCACTGGGAACCAAAACTGTTCGACATTCTTCAAAATATTTAGCAAACAGGTTTGGAATGACATCAGTGCGAGTATGTGAAGATGAGTTTTTATTTTTGGGTGGACTATCACTTTAACCACAATTTCTGAAAATAAAAAAATTTTGAAAACTTGAAATATATCGAAAATAGTCTATATGTGGGGTCTTTGAATATTGTGTTGGACATCGGGGAGCCTTTAAGTCGAAAAAGTTGAGAAAGGATACAGTTGAGCCCCAGGCAAATGGCATAAAAGTGCAGCAGGCCAGGAGCACTGGGAAGCAGGAAGAGGTCGAGGATCAAGAGGAGCCAAGGCAAGGACCAGACAGGGACACAGCGCAAGACTCTCCTCTGCTTCACCTGCCGACACTGAGCTGTGAGCAGGACAAGGTGGGTGGCTGAGTAACCACTGACCCTGCTGGCTTCATCCCCGGTAACAAAGAGAAAGAGGGCATAAATAGGAGGAAGGAGCACAGTAGAGATAAAGGAGAGGGCTAGGAACACAAAAGTGCCCCATCTTCTCTCCTGACAGGGCCCGAGCCACAGCAGCAGAGTGATGTTGTAGAGAAATGAGGTTAACTCCTCGTTACTGAAGGCGTAGAAGATGAAATCTGCAATACACAAGGAACATCAGGAACTGAATGTTTAGAATCTAGAATCATAGTCCTGTACATTCGTGCATTGCTTACCATAAAATCCAGGAAAATCCCCGCCTGGTCCTAAACTTAGACTGGCGTGAATACCACAGAGCCAAGTCGACAAAATTAATAGGAGTATTAAAAATGTTCCACTACAATAACCTGGACGGTTTGATCCAAGCCACAGCCATGCCGAAAAGAGATGATCAAACATTGTAAAATGAAAAACGCATCACCCGACAGTTGCTATCATTACAAGTATATATCTAAATAGGCAGGAATATCATAATGTATGTATTCATGTTTCCAGTCTCACTTCATTCGTTTACGACGCTGTCATATTGAGGTCTGTTTTAACAGATACTTCATCTAACGATGAGAGTACTTACTACAACGTGCACAAATATCCAATTTGTTATAATAATTTAAAAAATAATAATAATAAACAAGTAGGCTAAGACCAAGCTACACCAGTAACCAATGTCACTAGCAAACCCCTTTTATTTTGACAGCGAATAACTTCCTTTTACGGGCAAGCGCATTGGGGGAGTATCCGAATATGTTCAGTAAAACGTAATTTTAATACGCATATTTATGGATTTGTTAAACTATATCTAACTGTTTTATAGAGATTAGTAATTGATCGAATCAATTGTATAGATAATCAGGCAAATAACATGTTAATAATTACAAACAGAGATTTACATCCGCCCCCCTCTACACTCGGTTTATTGGTACGTTCCATATTGACTTCACGCATGCGCACTTGTCGCGCATGCACAGTCGTTCACATCGCGAACGTTCTCCAACGGAAAGATGGCGTCAGTCTCGAGTGAGTTTTTTTTCTCGTTTATGTCGTTTAGATTTTGTATGATTTTAGTACTTTGCAAATGCTAGAAATTGTCACAGTTGAGGTAATCGTTAAATAATGTTAAGAATTTGGGAGTTTTTGTATAACCGACATTCCTCGAGCACGCGGCCTAAGATTTGTGTTTTTAGGTCAAGGTGGTTGTTTGAAGCTAACGGATCGTTTGCTCGGCCCAACCGGTTTTAAATTTAGTTTATAGTATACTAAGAGCATAAATTCAACACACCATCTAAATAATTTACAGTAATGCGTTTTCGTGTTCTTTAAGCGCCTAAATCCAGAGCTCGTTTCAGCAAGTAAACAGTGGCTAGCAGGCGTGGTTTAAAAACTGCGGGATAAAGAGCGCAGCCACCTCGACGAACGCAATGTTTAGTGTTGGTATTGCGCTCTTGCGTTTAGTGTTGCAAAATAAACTTGCGCCTGAGATTTGGTTTCTTGCAAGTCTTGTTTTTGACGTTTTTTCATCGTCAGTTTTAGAGTTTAAAATATCGCGAATTCGTTAACGTTTAAATGCATGGTTTACTTAAAGGGGTCATATGATGTTGCTAAAAAGAACATTATTTTGTGTATTTGGTGTAATAAAATGTGTTTATGCGGTTTAAAGTTCAAAAAACTATTTTCCACATACTGTACATTATTGTTTCTCCTCTATGACCCGCCTTTCTGAAACGCGTCGATTTTTACAAAGCTCATCGTTCTGAAAAGCGAGGTGTGCTGTGATTGGCCAGCTATCCAGTGCGTTATGATTGGCCGAATACCTCAAGCGTGAGACGGAAATGTTACGTCCCTTAACATACTGTGATGCCGTGTTCGGCCGGAGCGACGAGACAAAAACATTAAAGCCCATTATAAACGAGGCATTTGTTGCATCTAGTGGGGACATAATTACAGTCTGTGAGTCAGAACAGCCGACATTGTAGTCAATCTACTCTTCCAGGATAAGGAAACAGTCCTCCATAAAATGTGCTGCACACAAATGAATATTTGGGTTGAACTGTTCTGGAACAGTGTTGTAAATACAACTTAACCACTGATTTCTAGTCGTGTCCTCTTTTGGAAGACCAAACAAAGTAGATTCGCTTTCACAACTAAACACACGGCGGGCTAGAGTGAAGGGCGGCTTGAGTGAGCGGTGGTCTGTGAGTCAGAACAGCCGACATTGTAGTCAATCTACTCTTCCAGGATAAGGAAACAGTCCTCTATAAAATGTGCTGCACACAAATGAATATTTGGGTTGAACTGTTCTGGAACAGTGTTGTAAATACAACTTAACCACTGATTTCTAGTCGTGTCCTCTTTTGGAAGACCAAACAAAGTAGATTCGCTTTCACAACTAAACACACGGCGGGCTAGAGTGAAGGGCGGCTTGAGTGAGCGGTGGCGGGCTTGAGAACGGAGCGGCCGGTGGGCTTGCGTCAACCACATGTGACGGCCCCGGGCTGGACTCCGCTTCGTCCACGGTGAAAGCCGATCAAGCGATCCACAGAGCGAAGTTGATGTATTTCCTCGGCGACCAGCATGGATCAGCTCTAGGCATGACGAAGCAGATATCGTCCTCTTTTGGAAGACCAAACAAAGTTTTCACAACAAACCACACAGCGCCTTCACGACATGGCGGCAGCAACAATACTACAGCGAGAATAGAAGTTACGCCGCCTTTCTTTGCGTGAACATTTGGGTGGCGTTATGCAAATCTCCCCACATCGTGACGTAGACATGTGGGGGCGTGTTAGAACGAGCCGTTTTAGGTAGGCGTGGCTGACTCTTAACTTTTATAAAGAATATCTCTTTGGATTTGAGACTTTAGTCTTTGCAACTTTACAGATCTTCTTTATGCACCAAGAGCTTGTAACACTACAAAGAGAAAGGCAAAATTGAAATCGCATCATATGGCCCCTTTAAATTTATCGCTCTTAACTAAAATCTCTAAGTGTGGTGGTTCAATATCACGGACCCCTGTTTCTTATGAATGCTTTAGTACTTTCAACAACTAGGCCTGTCTTGTTGATATAAGCTTTGTTCCAACCGAATAGCTGGAATTCAGCAGGGGCTGCACTTCATTGTCTGTGTTGAGGGGTTTGATCAAGTCATGCATGTTTCTCCCATCGTTTTTGGACTATAATAAAACGCTAGATGTGCAGTCAGTATGCATCTATGTTTCCCTGATGTTATGCAGCTCTAACTGTGTTTGCAGGAAATCTAACCTTTTGTAATCATTTACTTCCCTGTAGATTATAGCAGCTACAACCAGGCTGGTGCACAGCAGTCGTAAGTCCTCCATTAACATGCTGTATACCTTAACACAATGCATACTTTTCATTATCTAAAAATATATATATATAACAAAACATACATAAAATGCACATTTTTACACAGGTATGGCTCATACACCACCCCACCTACTCAGGGCTATGGACAGACTGCACAGGTAAGCCTAAACTCCTCAAACACACAAATTCCCACACACATGCTGTGTATTTGTTTGATGATAATTTATAGTTTTCATGTAACGTCACATCCTTACAGGAATGCCCACCTAGAGGGCAAAACAAGGCTTTCGTCCATTGACAGCTGCGTTTTCTTTGTTTAAAAAAAAAAAAAAATTTAAGGTTTGCGTCAAGTAGCATGAAACCAATATTAAAAGGCCAAATTCAGTATACAACTTACTGATGATGCATACTTTGTACAGGCAAGCAGATAGACCCAGAATATAAACGCAATGCACAGTTTCACATTAAAGGGTTTTCCATAGAAAACCATTATAATAAAAAATATATATAAAACACTTAGCACATTGCATTTGTTTTCCAGGCTCATATGCTTGCCTATATAAAGTATGCATCATCCGAGAGGTGTGTACTGACTTTGATCGTTTTAATGCACTTTTAAGTGTTTTTTTAAATTAAACGTTTTATATTGTTATACTGTTTTTAGTAATTGAAATATTGCAGCTGGTGCTTTAAATTGTTAACTTTTTTTTTTTTAATTCTTTTGAGAGGTGATCTAAATATTAGTGGATTGAAAACATAGTTTGTGGCTTGTGCTGCAGTTCAATGGATGTTTTGCCCTCCAGGTCTTCACGGCAGTCATGTGACTAAAAACTATGAATTGAGCAATCCTGGTTGTTGTATCTGATGTTTTACGTGTCAAGGAGATTCCAGTGGCATTTAATTCAGCAAAACTTTTTATAAAAGGGTTATTCTCAGCAAGATTATGGCTCATATGCTCAACCCGCCGCTGCACCTGAGTCCACCTACAGTCAGGCAGCGCCCTCTGCTGGAGCGTATGCACAGCAGCAGTATGGATCCTCATATGGACAAGCAGCAGCAACAACTGCTGCAGCAGCAGCACCAGGTCTGTAGACAAAGCTTATGGCGCTTTTCCACTGCATGGTACGGCTCACTGCTGAGTTGTTTTCCACTAGGTACAGTACCTGGAACTTTTTTCAGTACCACCTCGGCTGAGGTTCCAAGCGAGCCGTACCGTTACCAAAATGTGATGTGTAAACCCTGCTGATCACTGATTGGCTGGAGAGAATCGTCACTACCTGCATCATTGAACTTGCGACACGGAACACCAGACCCGCTAGATTTAAATCAGAGTGCACCTTTTTTTAAACAATCAAAAACTGGCTGTTCCGTGGTCTGTTGAGGAAGTACAGACGTTCCTCTCGTTGATAGCTGAGGAGCGGATCCAGCGAGAGCTTGATGGGGCGATGCAGAATGAAAACGTTTTTCATGAGGTCGCTCAGCTCTTGGCCGTGACGTGTATAATCCCACTCACTTAAAGCGGTACTAAACTGCAGTGGAAATGTAAACCGAGCCGAGTCGTACCACTCAGTGGAAAAGCGCCGTTTTCACTATTTACACCAGTATATTTGCCTGTTAGTCATAGTGACTGGATCATGACTGCGCAGATTTGAAATGTCCCAGAGTTCACCCAAAAAGTTTACTCGCCCTCAGGCCCTCCAAAATGTAGAGTTTTTCTTAATTGGAACAGATTTTGAGAAATTTAACTTTACATAACTTGCTCAACAATTAATCCTCTGCAGTGAATGGGTGCCATCAGAATGCAATTTCAAACAGCTGATGAAAACGATCCACAAGTAATCCATTTGACTCCAGTCCATCAATTTAAGTCTTGTGAAGGGAAAAGCTGCATGTTTATAAGAAACAAAACCATCGTTAAGGTGTTTGCTGCTTCTGACCGAAATACGAGTAATCCATATAATAATGCTTCCTCCAGTGGAAAAAGTCCAGCCCCTGTTGTCCTTTTGCATCAAAAACCACCAACATATTTGTTTACAACTATTTTGGACTGTTTTTGCTGTAAATGGTGCCTCAGCTGTGCATATTTCTCCTGATTCAGAGAAGATTATTATTATTTTCATTGGAGCATGCCATATTATGAATAGAGGGACCTGTATTTTAGCTGGAAGCAATGGTTTGAAGTTAATATCTCGATGGTTTTTACAATCATGCAGTTTTTCACTTTACAAGAACATTATTTGATGGATTGGTGTCATGTGGATTGTGATTTTTATCAGCTGTTTGAACACTCATTCTGATGGCACCTATTCAGTGCAGAGGATCCATTGGTTGATGTAATTGATTTTTTAATTTCTCAATTTTCTCTTAAAATTCCTTTAAAGCACAATTTTCTATACTTTAAGTGTGATTTTCTGTTTGTTTGTTTTCTTTTTAGAAATGCAGAGACCAACAAGCTTTGTGGGGAAATTTGCAAGCAATGCAAAGTGTCTTAGTGTATTACTGTTAAAAGGATCTGAAAAAGTAGATTTCTTGCAAGAACACTGAAATTGCAAATGTGTGTTGACATTTTTGACTTTGGTACTTCCCACGCCTTTTAGTTGTTTGGCTTGGAAATTCCTGCTTTCTAAATTGCACCATTTTAGTTCTCTTGTACACATGGTCATGCTGTGTTTATTCAGGTGCACATAGAAGATGATTCTCAAAACTAATGTTAAATCATTATTCTCCCTCTCAGCTGCATATGGAACAGCACAGCCAGGAGCTTATAGTCAGCCTGCGCAGAGTTACGGGGCCAGCAGCTACACCAGCTCCACTGCGGCCCCTGCCACCCAGGCCTCCTATGGCTCCCAGCCCGGATATGCCACCCAGCCGGCCTATTCTGGCTACAGTCAGCAGCCTGCTGCCTCCGCTCCTCAGAGGTAACTGGACCGTCTCCTAGAGCATCACATCAACAGGATGCTGTTATGGAGCCTCCCACAGTATTTCCATATGCTGTTCTTTCTTCATGCTGAACTTCACTTGAAATACACAGTTCCCATGCAAATCCCCTATTTCTTTCTGTAGTGAATGAGTAAGATCAAAGAGGCTGTTTATGCTAATATGCTGATATTTCTAATATGTAACATTTCTTAATATTATCGGTTGAAAACAGTTGTGCATATCTTTTGTGGGAATAGTTTTGCATGAAGAGAAAGTTCAAAAGGACAGCATTTATTTAAATTATGTAAATCTTAACTTTGTTTTGATTAATTTAACGTGTCCTTTTAAATGGTATGTACAGTGTGCACACATCTTTCAAAAGTTGAATTTATTTGTATTGCAGCTATAGTGCAAGTGGCCAGCCGGCCTACAACCAAGGTGCCTATTCCCAGCCTGGAGCTTATTCTCAGCCTCAGGGTGGGTACCAGGCTCAGCAGCCAGGCTATGGGCAACAGCAGCAGAGCAGCTATGGGCAGGGACAGCCACCTCAGCAGCACCAGCAAGGCACACCTGCTGCCTACCCCCCTCAGGGGAACAGTTCTTACGGACAACCTCAGTACGGCCAGCAGAGTGCATCACAAAACGATTACAACCAGCAAAGCCCTTATAGTAAGTTTTTCACCATTTTACAGTGATTTTGTTAATTTTCTAGTCCGTTTCTTATCAAGTTAAGGCCATATGCTTAGTGCGTGATCTCTCCTGTAGGCAGTTACAGTCAGAGTGGCGTGAGCGGAGGCTACCCAGGGTCGCAGCAACGGGGTGGATACCCAGGAGATTCCGGCAGAGATGGTTATGATCGAGGTCCTCGTGGGCGTGGGGGTATGGGCCGCGGAGGCATGGGGTAAGTTCAGACTTTAATGTAACTAACTGTTCATTGCTCTCCTGCTCGCTCATTTCACTGAGCGGAATCACTCATCACAGGAAGGGTTGTATGTACAGGTGTCCAAGAAGAGTGGAGTATCTTGTGTAGTTAATCCAACCGTTATTTGATTTGAAGAGGTTTCTATGATACCACAAAGGTATTGTTGCAGGGATGTTTTATTTTGGTCTTACATATTGCAAACATTTATTTTTATGATTACAATTTTGAGGGGCATTTAATGCTTATCCTAAGACTGAGGAATTAATTTATTTGTTCTCACAAAGCTCACAGCTTACTGGTCTTTGCCTTTTCTTTACTCACGGTTATTTCAAGTGTGGCAGCGTATCGAAGATTTGAGGGTTTTTTTTGCTGAGGTCTTTTATTAAACCAATTTCTTGTTGCAGTAAGCTGCCTACGAAATTAACAACATTTTGGTTTTTCAAAAGCTGTATGAGGATCTGTACTGCTGTTGAGTTTGAATGGGGATATGGAAAAATTAGCAAACACGCATCAAGTCTTGGACAAATGAGTAGTTTACTGTATAATTATCGCAGCAGATGGTGGCACACGATCATGGGTGTTTAAGTTTTGTCCTTATTTACTGGGTTTAAAATGTTGAATGGAGGTTTGTCAATTGAAAGTATGCAGAAAGTAATCTGGTTTCAAAATGGTGAATGTTAGCAGAAGCGATGGTTCAACGTTGGGGGAAAAATTGATAATTTATATAAAATGGTTGGAGTAACCTTGAACAAAATCCTGGAATGTTTAATGGACACGCATACAATGAAATACTTTGGTAACCAGAGGTAAGAATTTTTTTTATGCATAAACAGTTCTTCAAACACTTCTCAGGAGGTGGTTTTTGTTAACCTGTAAAACTAAGTATTCACTGACTCCAAACAAAAAAGGAAAATCCAGTTATTTCTGGTCCAACTGAACTTGTTTCAAGGGATGGTGAGCATGCTATTAAACATTTCTGATATTTAAATTTTATACACTTTCATGTACTTGAATATTTGTGAACTGTTTTCTCATTTCAAAGGTCTTGTTTTAACATTCTTTGTCACATTTATACGCTGCAGGTATCAGAGATCGATGTAAGAACAGCAGTACTTATTCTTTAAGTACCTTTTTCCATTTGAAAGGCGACAACTCAAAGAACCATGGGGAATTTTCTTGATTTTGTTATCTGCCTAATGTTTGGATAATTTTTACCAGCATATTTGTGATTTTCTTTTTGTATACTTCTCACACTTTGTAAACATTTGTACTATATATTGAGTGTACTTTTGTTCAATACTGATGTTTTATTGGTTTTTGTTTTTTTTGGGGGATTGAAATAGCTAAAGGGATTTTTCCAACTAACAGGATTGCTGTATTTACAATTTGCCGCCTCATACATTTTATACTGGTTGCAGCCCAAAGCATGAGGCTCCAAGCTAACTTGGCAATTCATCCCATTTTAAAAAAGGTTTACAAAAAGGAAATGTATTTATTTCTGGTCCTATGTGGATGTCTTTTTACATTATGTGCAACCAAACTGTTAAGTACCATATAACATGTTATAGAAGTCATGAAGCAGCCCAATTAGCTACTAAAATACACTGTACATTTATCACATGGGGCATTTGCAAGGTTAGAGGGAGATATTGTGTTCATTTCCTACTCAAGTCCTATGGTTGGAGACTAAAAGGAATATCGCCTTCATATCTTCATGTTTAGCATCGCTGGAGACCGAGGGGGCTTCAATAAGCCTGGTGGTAAGTTCCTAAAGCGTATTCCATTGGCTAGTCCACTCGAGTTAATGTAGAGGCCATTCACGCCTATGTGTCCTTAAAAGATTTCATTTGGTGTGCCACTTTTGACCAAAAAAAAGAGTGTCCTAATGGTTTATATTTGGATTTCTTCAAAAGTTGAGACGTGTCCTTTGACAGAAGCGTCTTTTTTATTATTTTTTTTATTCTGCATCTTTTCCCATTTCATTCCGAGACTCTATTGTGGTCAAGGTTATTTTGAAAATGGTCATATCTTAATGTATTTAATACTGCTCACAAGTTTTTTTTTGTCTTGGCAGATGGTCAGGTTTGCTTTTAACATGTTATGTCATTGTCTAATAGTGTTTTTGTCTTTCTCTGCTTTGATCCATGGAAAACTCAGAAGGCATGAGGGGTGGAATGGATCGTGACAAGGGTATGTGCTGTAAATGATCCCCCTGTCTTTTAATGTTCACTGCAGATAAAAAGTTTGATGCCTTTTCAATCTTTTAAAACAAAGATGGTGTAATTTGTACAAAAGTGACAGTAAAGACATGTTACAGTGCTGTTCTTTTGAATGCTCATTCAAATAATCTTGAAAAAATTAATGAACGCAGAGTTTCCACAAAAATGTTAAGCAGCAACAACTGTTGGACATTGATAAATGTTTCTTGAGCACCAAATCAGCATATTAAAATTATTTCTGAAGGATCATGTAACACTGAAGACTGTAGTAATTGTTGCTGAAGGTTTGGCTTTGCCATCACAAGTTATTTTTAAAAGATATTAAAATAGAAAACTGGTATTTTTAATTGTAACTTCAAATATTGCCAAAAATATTTCAAATTTTTCTCTTTTTTTTGGGATCAAATGAATGCATCTTTGAGTAGCACAGGAAGCTTCTTTCAAAATATTTGACTAACTCCACATTTTTTAACCAAAGTGCAAGTTAACATAGTGTAGTTAAATGTATTACAAATATATCTTGGATGAAAGTGGTAAATTTGATTCTCTCCCACAAACACCAGGGCATCCAGGAGAACAGGACTCTGAGAACAGCACCATCTACATCACAGGCCTCACTGAGAATGCCACTCTACCAGAGATGGCCGACTTCTTCAAACACTGTGGAGCGATTCGGGTGAGGAGCTTCATAACTAGATTAATTTTGAATAACAATGCCTTTTATCATCAGATTTCAGCTGTTGTAGTGGCTGCTTTGACAGTTTCCATTTTTCGTAGCCATCTTGACGATTTTTGTTTCTCATAGATAAATCGGCGTTTAAATCAACCAGCCATAAACATCTACACCGATAAAGACACTGGCAAACCAAAGGGAGATGCCACACTCTCCTATGAGGAACCTGCCTTTGCCAAAGCTGCTGTTGAACACTTTGATGGTTGGTTTCTCCGATTATTTTCATCTGCTGTGGATATTGCTTTACATTTATTCTCTTTTAAACATATTCTCAAACATTAACATGTTGCTCATACTTCAGGTAAGGAGTTCCAGGGCCGGAGGTTAAAGGTCTCTATGGCTCGCCGGAAGCCCATGATGGGGGGTATGAGAGGTGGAATGCCAATGAGAGGTGGCCCTGGGATGGACCGTGGAGGTATGATCAATCCTTAAGCCCGCAGGAGTCCTTCAGGTGGGAAGTGTAACTGTATTGTAACAGTGGCTTTGTTTTGTATGCCAACAGGTATGGGAAGAGGAGGGGAGAGAGGTGGTTTCCCTCCTCGTGGAGGCCCTCGAGGTGGAATGGGTTGGAACGGGCCTCCAGGAGGCAATGTGCAGAAGAGAGCTGGAGACTGGGAATGTCCCAACGCGTGAGTGAAACAAACTGTTTTGAAGCAACCGAATTATGATGCATCTTTTGCAATACGTGAGGCCTGCTGTCTAAGCATTAAAAAAGTGTTGACGTCTATTTTTCTGGCTATCCATCTCGTATCTCAAATACAGTGGGTGTGGAAATCAGAACTTCTCCTGGAGAACGGAGTGTAACCAATGTAAAGCTCCAAAACCTGAAGGCCTAGGAGCTCCTCCTTTCCCTCCTGCAGGTACACGCAGATTGACCATCTTCCCTCATCAGCTGATGATCTCTAAAAGTGTCTGTGATCGAGATTTGTGTTGATGTGTAACAGAAAAAAAGCGTGATTTGTTTTAATTGTATTTTCAGGCGGTGATCGTGGCAGGGGTGGAATGAGGGGCGGCAGAGGAATGGATCGTGGTGGTCCGGGGGGCATGCGTGGAGGCTGGGGGGGGGATCGCGGCGGGTTCAGAGGGGGCCGGGGGGGGATGGACAGGGGGTGTGGCTGACTCTTAACTTTTATAAAGAATATCTCTTTGGATTTGAGACTTTAGTCTTTGCAACTTTACAGATCTTCTTTATGCACCAAGAGCTTGTAACACTCCAAAGAGAAAGGAAAAATTTAAATCGTATCATATGACCCCTTTAAATCTGCAGTTGGCTTGTTTGGTGATGTACTGCAAAAACATCCAAGCAAAAGTGATTCTTAAAATAGGATGACACTAGGGAGGGAAGCTGGACACTTGAGTTTTCATCATAAGGATAATTTCTAGCATTAACATTACAATACATTAGTGAGACACATTCGGAAGGATTATATTTAACCATGACATTTAGATACTATTTCAATCATTTTGCCTTCTCATTCACAGCATGTGCCCTATAGTGTGGCTTTGACCTATGATTGTTAAGAGTTGAGTTTCTGAAGACAGACTTTCAGTTGTCCTACAGCCATTGAACTTAGTGGTTAATGGAGATGAATGAGTGCTGATTAACATCATGATGATGTCCTCATGTCTGTCTTTTGTCTGCCTATTCAGAATGGTCCCTTTCATTTGCTGATGACCAAGACCATTGGCAGAGTAGTGCGAATGAGCCTGGACTAAAGTTTTGGAGCCCAAACTGGAACAAACAGGAACCTGTTGGATAACCACATTAATTTAATTTGACAGACTTGATTAAAGTTTGGCAATGAGAGTTTTTGGGAATGTGGATCAAGCAAAGATTGACGTTACTGAGCAATGGAGCAGATAAAGTGGCAAACACTTTTGTAAAAAGTAAGTTTTCTCACTGATTGATGATCAAAAAGAGATTATCTTTAAAGTTCTACAGTCATCTTTACACAAGTACAGCAAGATTTTATTTTATTTTTTTAAGTTTATATATGACACCCAAACACACAACAAATATTTATTTCACGGCCCTCAAAAATACTTCACTCACTAATCTATACAGGTGCATCTCAATAAATTAGAATGTCGTGGAAAAGTTCATTTATTTCTGGCAACATACCGGCGCTACTTGCACGTCTCAAAAATTACTCCGCGGTTTCGCATTATAGTAACGCGAGTAATGTTTGTGCAGAAAACATTGGTCGGACTCGGAGCAACAATGAACAGTAGTAAAAGCTAAGAGCTGGTTGAAATTGTATCTAAATATGTTTCCTAACAAGTCACTAAATGGTTTGAATGGCAGATAGACATATATAAAATAACATTGTACGTAAATTGACTATTTTTAGCGGAAGATTTAAGGTAATGTAAACAACATAATATGTATAACAATAATAATAATTACTAAATAAATCAAAATGTAATGTCATTGCATTTATTTATTTGGTAAATGGTTGTATAAATAAACGGGATAGTGTAGTCAATCGGTCATCATGGTACAATAGGCCTTCCCTCCACTTTGCGTCGCCTGACTGTACATTATCCTTATATTGACCCTGCCGCAGTTTATCACATGAAGGTAGTATGTTTAATTACATACATCACAGTTAATTTGAGTTTGATTGATGTAGTCAGACTACTGCGGTAGGCCAGCCTCCACTTTGAAAAACACGGTCATCCTAGCCGCCACGTTATTTTGTGGTGGGCGCATATAATACTCGTTACGGTAATAGCGTGTAAAAACCCAGATCAGACGAAAAGTGATCTTTTGCTTTCATTTATTGAGCCAGTTTCTCTGTCAATGATGAATGAATGAATTAATCAATTAAAAAAAGGTCTTATATGAAAGATAAATAAATAAAAAGTTTTAAAAACGGTCTGATACCATGAAAATTAATTTGAGTTATAATTACATGTAGAATTGCCAAGTAATATGAAAACAGCTGTCTGATGAGAAATAACAAAATAAAAGCCTTTTAAAAACTTGCAAAAATTTATTTTTATCTGTAAATTCACATAGTTTTAAAAAGAAAATTCCTTGTTTCTCCATAAAAGTTTCACTTTAGATAAACAGTACACCAGTATGTCATTCCCCCAATGTCAGGACTGTCTGATGTCCTCGTATATGACCAGTTTGTCTTTGATTTCAGATAGCTCTAAAAAGAAAACTCCCTGTTTTCACAAACCAGTTTCAATTCAGATTGACAGCCCATTACCCCAGGGTGTCACTCAGCCAGTTTCAGGACTGTCTGATATTGTATTACAAAATAAAAGCCCTCCAAAAACTCATATATGACCAGTTTTGTCTTTGATTTGGATAGCTCTAAAAAGAAAACTCCCTGTTTCCACAGACTAATTTCAATTCAGATTGACAGTCCATTACACCAGGGTGTCCCTCAGCCAGTTTCAGGACGATCTGATGTTGCATTACATAATAAAAGCCCTCCAAAATATCATGACCTACCTGTTCTGCCTGTGAATTTTAATGGCTCTAAAAAGGAAACTCCCTGTTTCCACAGACTAATTTCAATTTAGATTAGAAGTCCAGTACCTCAGGGTGTCCCTTAGCCAGTTTCAAGACGATCTGATATTGCATTACATAATAAAAGCCCTCTAAAAACTCATATTCTACCTGTTCTGCCTGGTGATTTTGAATAGCTCTAAAAAGAAAACTCAGTTTCCACAGACCAGTTTCAATTCCGAATATTAGTACACCACCCCAGAGTGTCACACCCACAAATGTCTGGATCTGACGTGTAATTACAAAATTGGCAATATGAATGTAATATAACTCAACAAATACATTTTCATGTTATCAGACCGTTTTTTAAACTTTTGATTTATTTATTTATCTTTCATATCAGACCTTTTTTTTTATTCATTCATGCATTCATCATTGACAGAGAAACTGGCTCAATAAATGAAAGCAAAAGATCACTTTTCGTCTGATCTGGGTTTTTACACGCTATTACCGTAACGAGTATTATATGCGCCCACCACAAAATAACGTGGCGGCTAGGATGCCCATGTTTTTCAAAGTGGAGGCTGGCCTGACCGCAGTAACATATTGCATGATCAAAGTCGCACTGATTAAACCTGATTTTTTTTCCCCCAACTGTGAAGCAATCACAGGATCCCTGTTCCCACCAACGAACATGCAAATTGAAGATATGATAAGCAAAAGCAACATCCTCGTTTCTATTTTCGCTCGACTGCACAACAGTAACTTTTTGAATAAAAATGATGGGTATCAACCGAATGTCAGATGCAAATTTGAACGGTTTGGCCGTTGGTAGCTGCCTGGGCAACTGAAATAAAGGGAATGCACAGGGATAAACTTGCCGTTGATCCTCTAATAATGAGATGTGACTCGATGTATAAGCCACTGCATCTCGACGCGTTGTGCAGGAGGCGGCGCATAGGACGGTCGCATCATTTCCAACCGACGAAGATTATTATTAAAGTGCCCCAGTAGACCGGGTCTGCCTTCCTGCCTCAATCGGCCATGCGTCCTCCGAATGAACGAATGAATAAACGAGGCGTTGCGGAGCGCTGGTAGCCAATGTGGATGCTCCTCATGCACTACGATAGCGCGTCGAGCTGTCATGTACTGATAATCGTCCTGTTTCGCTCCGGACTTCCACAGGGGGAATGAGTAATCGTTATGTGGTCATTGAAGGAGGCGGGTATCTCACCGACATCCGGAATCCATCGCGGAATCCCACAGCTGTACCGCGGCGCTGCGAGTCAAAGCGGCCCGCTTTAGGAGCTCCTACCGCGCGTCGTTATGCCATTCCCAACGCTGTTTCTGGAGGATCGCTGTACGACACAGTCGTGCGTCATTTCGTGCCTTGATTGATACGCGTTTTCCCGTAATATGGCCGATCAGAGCAACATTCAATCCGCCGCCTCCAAAAGCATCAGGCCGTTCAAATCCAGCGAGGAATACCTGTATGCCATGAAGGAGGATCTGGCTGAATGGCTGAACACGCTGTACGATCTGGACATCACGGCGGACACTTTTATGGAGGGTCTGGAGACCGGCTGCGCGCTCTGCCGGCATGCAAACAACGTGAACCGCGCCGCCCTCGAATTCAAGACCAAGTATCCAGATGCGGCGCTTTCGCTGCGGATACCCAGCAAGGACGTGGTCTTCCAGTCGAGGAACGTCATACCGGGCTCGTTTTTGGCCAGAGACAACGTGTCCATCTTCATCGGCTGGTGCAGGCAGGAGCTCTGGATCAAAGATGTGCTCATGTTCGAGACCAACGACCTGGTGGAGAGGTGCAACGAGAAAAACTTCGTGCTGTGCCTGCTGGAGGTGGCTCGCCGGGGGGCCAAATTTGGCATGCTGGCCCCCATGTTGATTCAACTCGAGGAGGAGATCGAGGAGGAGATACGGGACCAGGAGAACCTGACGGAGGCTCTGGGGGAGTCGCAGAGCCCGCCGAGCAGGACGTACAGCCGCAAGGAGAGCATCGGCGAGCCCGACCCAGAGCTGCTGGCCCGCTGGCAGCAGCAGCAGAAGAGAGTTCTGCTGGAAATGCGCAACCTGGACGAGCTGGTGAGTTTGACAGGTTTTGGCATCTCAGACAGGTGCATAATAATAGCAACTGGTGGGTTATTAATAATCTGGTTAGATGGTGTTCAGCGTCTTAAAAAACCTTTTTAATAGTTAAAACATCCTTCATGTCAGAACTCAGAAATGTATGTAATGTGTCATGGAAAGTTCTGGTGTCAGTGTTATTTATATGGACCAGAAATGGCGTAGGCTAACAAAGGTTACCTCGTTCAGTGCTTCTACATACAGTAGATATAAGTGGATTTTCTGTCAACTCTTGACTTGCACTGCATTCAACTTTTACCTTCAATGGCTTTTCAGTACATCTCAAATGTCAGCCATGGAAGAACAACCCAATGCATCTCATTAAACTAATACATTAAACATGGGACAAAATATGGCTTCACCTAACATAAAAATAGCAACATTTATTCTTTGAAATGATTAATAGAATGTTCTTCTGGCACAATGAACACCAAAGTACTGTTTATTTCCATTTTCTTTTTATTTGAATGGCTACCCTATTTAACTATATAACTTTGCAGTTTCTTTGTCA